AAATGTTTCTTGAGCAGCAAATCAGCATATTATACTGATTTCTGAAGATCATGTGACACTGAAGACTGGAGTAATGATGCTGAAAATACAGCTTTGATCACAGAAATAAATTACATTTTTACAGATATTCACATAGAAAACAGAGATTGTTTACCAGGTTTTAGTCACTATATCATTCCCCTAGTTTTATTTGTGTTATTTCATAGCTTTTATGAAGAAAAGAGTCATAATGAGTAGATGTGACTCAACTCTTGTGATTATTAATGACAGAAGCACAGGACTGACGTGACTTACCATACTTCTTGCGGATTTCATCATGTTTCCCCTTCCTCTCCGCCTTCCTGCAACAGACAGTAACCAGAGATGAGTGACGGCTTTTTACAGACTGGACGGGATTATATAGATTTTTGAAACAAAATATTGAATTTCTGTGCCATTTGCATCATTTGAGCTGTATTTTTTTGCATAGACTTGGAAGAAACTAGGTAAATTAGACTGATGGACAGATTATGTGACCATGCATGAAATAATACAGTGATTGATTGACTGTTTATAATTATAGTGTTTATATTTTCTTAATATTATTCATGTTGAAAAAAGAGTGAAAAATATATCTTGCATTTTTTTCTCGCAATTCTGACTTTTTTTTTAACAATTCTGACTTTTTTCTGTAAACGCAAAACTATGAAAAAAGTCAGTATTGTGACATGTAAACGTAAAACTCCACGAAAAAAGTCAGAATTTGTGAGATGTAAACGCAAAACTCTGTGAAAAAGTCAGAATTGCGAGATGTAAACGCAAAACTCTGTGAAAAAGTCAGAATTGCGAGATGTAAACGCAAAACTCTGTGAAAAAGCCAGAATTGCGAGATGTAAACGCAAAACTCTGTGAAAAAGCCAGAATTGCGAGATGTAAACGCAAAACTCTGTGAAAAAGCCAGAATTGCGAGATGTAAACGCAAAACTCTGTGAAAAAGCCAGAATTGCGAGATGTAAACGCAAAACTCTGTGAAAAAGCCAGAATTGCGAGATGTAAACGCAAAACTCTGTGAAAAAGCCAGAATTGCGAGATGTAAACGCAAAACTCTGTGAAAAAGCCAGAATTGCGAGATGTAAACGCAAAACTCTGTGAAAAAGCCAGAATTGCGAGATGTAAACGCAAAACTCTGTGAAAAAGCCAGAATTGCGAGATGTAAACGCAAAACTCTGTGAAAAAGCCAGAATTGCGAGATGTAAACGCAAAACTCTGTGAAAAAGCCAGAATTGCGAGATGTAAACGCAAAACTCTGTGAAAAAGCCAGAATTGCGAGATGTCAGCACAAAACTCCACAAAAAAAGTCCGAATTGTGAGAAAAAAGTCAGAATTGCGAGATGTAAATGTAAAACTCTACAAATAAAAGTCAGAATTGTGAGGTGTAAACACAAAGATCTAAGAAAAAATTCAGATTTGTGAGAAAAAAGTCATAATTGCGAGAAAAAAAAAATCAAAATTGTGAGATATAAAAAGCAAAGCTCTAAGAAAAAAGTCAGAATTGTTAAAAAAAAAGTCAGAATTGCGAGAAAAAAATGCAAGATATATTTTTCACTCTTTTTTCAACATGAATAATATTAAGAAAATATAAACACTATAATTATAAACAGTCAATCAATCACTGTATTATTTCATGCATGGTCACATAATCTGTCCATCAGTCTAATTTACCTAGTTTCTTCCAAGTCTCTGCAAAAAAATACAGCTCAAATGATGCAAATGGCACAGAAATTCAATATTTTGTTTCAAAAATCTATATAATCCCGTCCAGTCTGTAAAAAGCCGTCACTCATCTCTGGTTACTGTCTGTTGCAGGAAGGCGGAGAGGAAGGGGAAACATGATGAAATCCGCAAGAAGTATGGTAAGTCACGTCAGTCCTGTGCTTCTGTCATTAATAATCACAAGAGTTGAGTCACATCTACTCATTATGACTCTTTTCTTCATAAAAGCTATGAAATAACACAAATAAAACTAGGGGAATGATATAGTGACTAAAACCTGGTAAACAATCTCTGTTTTCTATGTGAATATCTGTAAAAATGTAATTTATTTCTGTGATCAAAGCTGTATTTTCAGCATCATTACTCCAGTCTTCAGTGTCACATGATCTTCAGAAATCAGTATAATATGCTGATTTGCTGCTCAAGAAACATTT